CGCCAGACCCCGCCCCCGGCCGGCTGAGCTCCGCGCCGCTCTCCCCGCCCTCTCAGTGCGCGATCGGCTCGGCAGCCTGTGGGGCGCCAAGGCGGCGGCGCGGTTCGCGTATCCTTTGTCTTCAGGCAGACGCGGCCCCCTGAATCCTTATCCGGCGCCTCAGCTCAGCGCATCTCAGCTCCGGCTGCCATTCCGGCGACCGGCGTCAGGTCTCTGCCGGCGGCGGAGCCGGCTTCGGATGCTCAGCGGCGTGCTTGCTGGTAGCGGATCATGTCGGCGGCGGGAACGGGGGTGGAGGCGGGCTTCTCCAGCGAGGAGCTGCTGTCGCTCCGCTTTCCGCTGCACCGCGCCTGCCGCGACGGGGACCTGGCCGCTCTCTGCCTGCTGCTCCAGCAGACGCCCTGCGCCCACCTGGCCGCCGAGGACTCCTTCTATGGCTGGACGCCCGTGCACTGGGCCGCACACTTCGGCAAGGTTGGTGGGCGCCGGGGCGCGGAGTGGGTTAGCCGGGGTGGCAGGCCCTTCCCGGACGCACACCGAGCCTTGAGGGCTGCGGGGGCAGTGTCCCTTTAAGGCGCCATCTTCTGTAGTTCCCAGACTCCTGGCCGGCTTTCTGAGACGGACTGGGGGACTTGGGGCCGAGGCGGGACATCAGATGCCCCCCGAGGGTTGCAAGGGTCGAGGAGGAAGCGGGGCCGTGGGGACGCCGCCCGAGCGCCCTGCGGCCCGGGGCGTGTGTGTGACGGCTCGGGCGACTTCGGGGGGCTCCGAGGGGCGCTGGGCGGAGCTAGTTTCAAACGCGGGCGGGTTCCCGGGAGACGCGGCGCCCGGCCGATGCCAGGGTGCCGGCGGGCAGGCGGCCCGGGCTCGGCTCCCGGAGGCGATGGCATTTGCAGGGCGTGATGGCACTCGGCTAATTTAGGGGGAACCGTCTGGGCCTCTCCTTAAGTCGGGGAGACGGGGGGAGGCCTCACGGTTTGGAGGAGAGTCTCCTCCACGCCTTCGGAGGACCTTTTGTAAAAAAGAGCCCCCTGATCGTCTCAAGGCCGATTTTTGGAGACTTGTGCTTTTGGCAAGGGCCCGCTTCACCCTATCCTGTGCGTTTCTGTCCGCTTCCTCGGGGAAAGACTTCGCTGTACCTGAATCCCCCCGCCCGTTTGTTTTGTTTTTCCTGTTATGGCAACAGAGATGTTCGATGTTGGCGTCTTCAGGCGGTAGTAATGGCCCTGTGCTAAATCCAGGTTGCTGTGCGTCTTCGACTCGCTAAAAGAATTTTTTCAGGGGCTGTTTTTCTTAAGCTAGTGATTCAGGGTTTCAGTTTCTCAGGTACGGTATTCAAGTTTGCACCGCAGGCTTGTTACTCCCCGGCCTACGACTAAACGGAGCTAAGTGGTTCTAGTCTTAATAAGGGGTGGGGATAGGAAAAGCGTTAATTAACGGGCACTCCCTATAATGACACACTGTGCAAATAACATGCAAAAATGCGAGGAGGAACTCCGGTAAGTAACTTGGAAGCAATCATGCTTCTAAATTGAGCTTAACTTTTAAGAAGCTTGCAGCTTTCGGGGTTTAAGTACTCTTAAAGCCCCAGACAAAACGTTTTGAATGAGTAACTTCTAGTCATGCTGCTTCTAAATTTGCCCATCCTTTCTTCCGTCGTTTGTATGAGAATGAAAATACTTCACATGACCTTTTTTAAAAAAACAAAACAAAAACCCAACAAAACCAAACATAAAAAATACCCATCAACAAAACACCTTGAAGTCGTATGTTTAATTATTTTTAGTTTTGGGGTTATAGTTACCTAGAAACTGCTTCCCTATTTCGTCAGATTGCCTCTGGGAAGAGATGCCATTGAGTTCAAGGAATGAAGTGTTGAATATTTCTAGGTTACTGAGAACTTTTTAAAAAAGAAATTTGTGTTCAAGAGTTAAAGTTATTTACACACACCCCAAAGAAAGTACGTGAAGTTGTGAGTTTTAATATTCCCTTAGTAAGTCGGAGTCATGGGCCACACTTTTCATAAGGTTATGAACTTTGAGGAACTCATATGTGTTTATTTGAAATCAACCCTGGATTCACTTGATCTTCAGGCAGCTTTTGAAACTATCATGATTCTCTGTAGAGCAAACATAATACCAGTGTTTTTAGTAATTAATCTTGGCTTTATACATAAAGTCAGTTTCAAATGAAAAGTGTTTGTAAACTGTATGGCTCACCCTCGCCCTGGTTAAACAACATAACACAAAAAAACCTAGGGCACATAAGTAACCTACTTTCCTTGCCACTTCTGCTAAGAGGTATTTTTACTTTTACCGGAAGGTAAAAGTTGTGGAATAATTGACCTCATTAAATTGAATAGTCACCAGACAAAATATATAAGCGGAATAATGACGTCTTAAAAATGCTTTTTAGGCAATTATGTGCAGTAAATTGTATGTTTGTAAGACATCTTTTAATGAAAATCCAATAAAATTAATGTATTTATAGTAATGATTGTATTTAGCTTTCATATAAATTACTAAAAAGGGTGTTAAATAGAATTATCTTAGATTTTATATATAGTTATTTTCTTCCCAATTTGAAAGTTTGGGGAGAAACAGGGATACTATATATCTTCAAAATAATGCTCAAGTGAATTGTCCTCACTCTATAGAATCAAATTGGGTTATTTAACAAAAAGATAGGTCCCTTTTTGCTTGTAATCTAATACTGTGTATTTCTACAAAAAGAGACTTTTTAATGATTGTTTTTGGGAGGTTTTAAGGGCGCTCTGGGGCATAGTACATAGTAAGTGGCTAACCTAAAGCCCATTCAAATCCATCAGCAAGTCCTAGGGAGAAAGCTGGGCAGACTCCTACTGTGTGATTTGGAGCCCCCTGAAAACCCACTAGAGGGTTTCGACTGGATGGCAGTAAGTTTTTTTTTATTTGAAGATTTCTTCACATGCTAAAGTCATCTTTTAGATGAGGTTGGGTTGAGATTTAAGAGATGAATATTTAGGGGAAAAGAATGCAATTTCCAGGTTAATACGAAACAAGCCGTTTGACCTTGTTGTTGTTTGTTGTGTGCCATAGAGTCAGAACCAGCTCATAGTTAACCATTAATCCAATGGGAGGAGATTGCCCATCCTTCTTCCGTGGAACTGACGGTGGCCTTCGGGATTGTAGCCCAGGTTTTTGGCACTAGGCCACCAGAACTCAAAAAGATGAATATCTTAATATTTTTATTGCCAGCTGTAGTTTCCATTGCTCTTTCAGTATTCACACTAGAGTTGGAGGTTTTGGGAGACAGTTTCTGAGTTACATTATAATATAGAAGAGACAAAGATTTAGGTGGAAGAAGAGTTTGGACAGTGTGAGAGGGTTATTGCTATTAGGAGCCCTCAAGTATGAGGACACAAATTAATCTGTCATGAGCTGTTAGATCCCTGTGGACAAAGTCTCTAAAATTGTGCTATGAGCAGCATATTAGTGCCCATAATCAGTCTCAGCTATTCTGCCCACTGCTTGGAATATACCCTAAGAGAATGAGAACAGAGGCACACCAGTGTTCATAGCAGCATTATTCACCATCACGTGAACATGGGAACAGCTCAGATGTCCAACCATAATCGAATGGATTGCAAAATTATGGTACATTCACACAATGGAATACTATGCGGCATGCAGGAGTAATGATTTTATAAATTACTACCTAACTTGGGAGGGACTTGAGAGCATTATGCTGAGTGAGCTAACTCAGTCCCATAAGGACAAATAGTGTATAAGATTTTTATTGTAGAATGAGTATGAGATTCCAAGGAGGGGAGGTAGGAAACAGAGGGATGAGGATGGTGAAGGGATGGTTGGGTAAAGGAAATGAGAAAGATCCAGTGTGAAAAACAATGTATATGAATTTTGTAAGTAAACTAATATAAAAATTTTCTTTTAAAAAGAAAAATGTATTATTCTCCAATTTAGAATGTAAATTTCCAAAGACAGTAATCTGGTGCTTTATTGCTTAAAAATACACTTTGTTCTCATTTAGTTTTCCATTAAATCAGTAGTTTGCACCGTCTTTGATAACTGCATATGTTTAAAAGAAAAACACGCATTTAATTGGACGGTTTGGTTTTGTTCTGTTTTTCAATGACCCCCCCCCTTCCCTGGTTTGGAATTGCTGTTGGGGGTGAGGGGGAACACAGTATTTCATGGCAGTCACAGGTACCCGCAATCCCTTCTGATAAAAATAATTACAGCTGAATGTTTTGCACTGTCAAATCAAAGGCACATCTTTTGAATCTACCAGCTACTCCACAGGGGAGAGAACCTGGTAGGTCAGCTATGAATCTCCTAAAAAAAATCAACAAAATCTACTTCTATAAGGTACTCTGGTGTCATAGTCCTTAGTCAGTTGCTCTGCCAAAGGCTGTGCCTCTCACATGGTTCAACTCTACCAGTTGTTGTGGAATAAGGTGGAGGGAATGATGGGTAATTACAGTTTTATGACCTTGGAGAACAGTTCGAGGGCCAATCAGCTATGAGTCTGTTCCAGTCAGTTGTAGTCAGTGATTACTTCTGTAGAACTTGAGTCCTAGCAAATTTAACCTGTTTTATACCTTCAAGTCATGACTGACTGACTGACTGACAGCTGCCTTTCAGTGGGATTTCAGAAGCAGTAAATCACATGGAAGGAGATTGCCCATCATAACTATAGGTAATTATTAGAGGTAATTTACAGCTTGTATCTTCTAAATAAATGAAGATGAAGTGCCTAGTCAATCCATGCATACACACACACACACACACACACACACACCCACACCCACACCCACACCCACACCCACCCACCCCCAGGGCAGAAATTAGCCAGGACTGCTCAGTTTGCTTGACCTTGTCAGTTGCTACTCTCAGTAAGAACATTTAAGTGTTTGTTCTTAACTTCCAGTGCTGAACACTTACTTGACATTTTAAATTATTCCCAACTTTCTTGTAAGTGCAAAAACATTACCTAACCTGTAAAACTTGGAGTTTATTGAGGACTCACATTAAAATAATTACTCCTTTTGAAAGGAGTGCGGCCCAGTGACCTAGTGAGTAGGGAGTTGTACTGCCAATGCAAAGTCAGTGGTTGGAATCCGCAAAGGAGAAAGATGGGGGTCTCCTCTCGTGTGATTTACAGCCTCTGAAAACCTGCTAGTGAGGGTCAGCTGTGAGTTGGTTCTAACAGGAGGGAGATTTTTTGTTGTTGTTGTTTTATTAAAGGATGCATTGAACAGTATGTTTCTGGAGTTCCTAATGCAGTTTCCTCTATCACCAAGATGGTAACAGTCCCTTAAGCTTTCAGTTGATGTTCAAGATGAATCCTTTTTTTGGCACACCAGATTTCTTCATTACTTCATTTTTATTAGACTTGAGATCCATTCATAGTATCTCTGGAATTAGCACTTTTTCTCCTCAGCTCACTAAATTAATAAAGGTAGTGTATAAAAATATACTAAAGTTGTGTATGTTTGCTAGCCTTCATTAACCAGACTCAAGTTCCTTGGAGATAAAGATACTTTAATTATCTGTGTACTCTATTCCCAATGGCTTAGCAGAGTTCATTGCAAAAAAAAAAACCCACAAAACTTTATTGACGTGATCTGTCCCTAGTGAGAAAAACTTTAAATTACTAAAAGAGGAAGGTATAGAGATTTGGAATGAGTTACAGGGCTAACTTATTTTACATTGGAGGTCTGGCCTCTTATAATTGTTTAGTCAGACCTTTTCACTATCTGCTTTATATGATCAGTGTGGACAGAAAACAAGCTGAAAAGAATGGTTTAAGTCTTTGAAGACAGCAACTCTTTAGTATTGTGCTTGATACCAGGCAAGCACTTGGTGAAATATTTGTCTAATGAAAGAACTTTTTACTCAGGAACTTGCAGGTACGCCTCCTTGGCTTTAAAGTTTTCACTTACCAGTCTGTTGGAGAGAAGAGAGCTTAACAGAGCTGCAGGCCTTTTCTTGGATATAGTTTTCTCTCGTGTACAGTGTTTTTCTTAAAACTGCACATACTGCTGTCTCCCCCACTTACTCCTCCAACTCTGGAGAGTACGTTTCCATTGAGTATTCATAGTTTGAGTATAAAACTGTGCAGAGGATATTTCTGCAGAACATATAACAATCTTTGACTATTAATTTTAAAAGTGTAAATACTTTTGTTTTTATAATAATAAGTGCCAAGTGGTAAAACCCAGATTTTTAAATTTGGGCTTTTATTAAGAAATCCTTGAATAGTGCCAATTTTATCTTTTCTGGTTTTGATTTGTAAGTTTTTGATTGTAGGAAGTCTAATAAATCTGTGTAGTAATGTCATTTTTTCATTTTTTTATTCCTATGTATAATTTTTTTCTAAACGAGAATTGTTTTTTATTTCATAATTTTCATGGTGATGGAATATGGCTCACTTTGTTCCCTTTAAACAGATTTGTACTAAAAATATCTTCTAGTATACTTTGGAATTTAGATTGTTAACAGTTAATAGACTATAGATGTAATAGTTAACATATTAGATGCAGCAGTTGATGATATACTGCCATTTATGCCTATTTTTCATCTTTATTGTTATATTTTTAAAGTTGGAGTGCTTAATAGAGCTGGTGAGAGCTGGAGCTACTCTCAATGTCTCCACTACTCGGTATGCGCAGACACCAGCCCATATTGCTGCTTTTGGAGGACATCCTCAGTGCCTAATCTGGCTGATTCAAGCAGGCGCCAACATTAACGAACAGGTAATAATGTGTCCATTGACATTTTCTTTTTTCAGCTATAATTAATTACTCACATGGTATTGAATTTTAATTAAGACCTTAATTAGTGTTTGAGGTCTTTACCTGTGAGTTAACTAGAATTTGCATTAATTAAATTATTTGTGCATGAGTTTCTTACATATTAATGCTTTCTCTGTATAGTGTTTTCTCATGTTTGATTTGCCTAAGGTTATAGATGGTAATTGAAGGAGTCTGTTGGCCTTAAGCACTACTATTCTCTCTTACCATAGCTATCTCAGATTTTATTATTTGCTTTTCTATAAAAATAAAATAAAAATTGTAGAGTTTATAAGTCGTGGTGGTGTTGATTGCCTTCCGGTCGAGCACAACTCATATCTACCCTATTAACAAAACACCTTAAACCCCTCTTCAACTACCGCATTTATCAAAGTTCATAGAGTTTCCAGAGGCATGTTGTTTAGGAAGTGGATGCCACTCCTGCAAATAGATAATAAACTTGATAATAGCTAAAAAAAAAAAGCTACTAAATCAATTTTAAGGCAAAGTTAGTATTATTTGGCTTACCAAAATAAATATCATTTCAAATAGAATTTGGGGTGATGATAACACAAGTAAATGGCTAAGTGTAATTTAATAATTGGAATGAGTAAGTGACTCCTGGAAAATAAGTTTTAAAATGATTTTTGTATTAATTAAGCATGCCTCAAACATCATAAAATTTTCAGCATGTCTTTTTATTATTCTTTTCACCTAATAAGGCCGTAAGAGTGATTTAGCAGATATTTGTGTTGTATCTATTATATCTACTAGGCAGCCTCTCTTGGAATAGTCCCCAGATTTAGCGCTTTGCTCTAAGGATGAGTTTGGTATAAAGTACTTGGTCTACTAACTGTCGTAGCTATTCTTTATACCTTTCCATTTTTTATTTTTCCCCCTCTCTCTGCTGTTTTTCTGCTAAGTATTTGCTGTGTATGAATGCACTTTTTTTTTTTCTCTTTCCTGAAATTGATTACTGGATGATAATGAGTTTAAATTGATTGCTATTATATTCCATTATTGAGTTAGGCATTGGACTGTTTATCTATTTGACTTATTCCCTGCATCTTGTATTTTCCTTTTTTCTCCCTTTTTCCTAGATCACATTCAAATTGGGGTCTTTTAGGAAGGGAACTTGGGGGTTTGATATATAAAAGCTTGGGCCTGATTCCAGATTCGGCTTCCTCCTATTTCTCTGTCCTTTCATAAATTATTTACTTGGTCTATTGTTTTAACTTATCAATAAAATATAATTTCATGAATGACAGTAATTGATACTTAATAAGGAATTTAACTTAAGTACAGAATATTTTGTGTTAATTTCCATTAAATTTTTATATTGCATTTGATTTAGAGAGATCTGATGAGATTTTCTAATACAGCTTTTCAAAATCTAAGGATCCCCTCTCCCCTTTAAAAAAAGTTCTCTAGAACTATAGAAGTCCAATAGTTAAAACATAAACATGTGAAAGTTTGACATAGTTTTCTTTCTCTTCCCTCAAATGTCTTTAGATAAGTAGTGTGTGAAAACCTCTATGGGGTGATATTTCCCAATCAAAATCTCCAACAGATTTTCCAGTTTGCAATTCCTATTTGTCCTGGGAATTTTTTTCTTTTTGGAGTCTGTCAACATATTGCTCAGGCCTGAATTTTAGATACTGTATTGCTCTGTTATGTATGTTGTTTTGTGTTGAGTCAGAACCAGCTCCTACAAACAAAGCTGAGTCGTGCATTTTCAGAGGCTATAAATCAAAAGCTACTAAATCATCTTCTTGGCAAAGTTAGTATTATCGGGCTTATCAAAATGAGAATGTCATTTCAATTACAAATTGGAGTACTGATAACACAGATACGTGACTAAGTGTAATTTAATAATTAGAAATAGTAAGTGACTTCTTGAAAATAAGTTCAAGCTTGGGTTTTGGGGGTTTTTTTTTGTATTAATGAAACATTAAATAGGAGATTGCTTATCTCTCTCCCATGGAGCAGCTGGTGGATTTGAACTGCATGCTCTTTACTACAAGGTCACCAGAGCTCCCCTGTTGCATGTAGTTAATTATGATCCATAGATCTTGTTTGTGATAAGTCAATGATGGCTGATGTTAGGGCTTTTAGCAGTCCATAGAGAACCATGATGGCTGTATATTATCAGAAAATTTCTGTCATCTAAAAAAACAAAGGGATACATTGTTTAATACTAGAAGGATCAATTTATCAAGAATATGTAACAATTATAAATATATTTACCTAACAACCAATTTCTAAACTATATAAAGCAAACACTAACATAATCAAACAAAAAAACCCTCATTTCAATAGTAGTCGTTGGATATACTTCAGTATACCATTTTCAGCAATAGACCATTTGAGCAGACTGTTGCTAGGTGCCATTGAGTAAAACTATAACAACTCTGTGAACAATAGATCCAAACCCTGCCCTGTACCATTTTATTATCTCTGACACACATGAGCCCACTGCTACAGTCACTATTTTCCTCTGTCCCATTTGTGCTGACCCTTGACCTTTCCAGGCAGTAATGTCCCTTTCCAGTGAATAGTCTGTCTTAGTAGTATGCACAGAGTATCTGAGCTGAAGCTTTACCATCCTTGGTAATAGAACACTCTGGATGCACTTTGTGTATCTATCTATCTATCTATCTATCTATCTATCTATCTATCTATCTATCTATCTATTTTTATGTGTGTACCATCAAATTGGATCTGACTGGTACAGGAGGTTCCTCCTTCTTCAGCAGAGCATCTGGTGGATTTGAACCGCGCACCTCTGGTATTGCAGTTTCCTGCCACTAGGCCACCAGAGCTTGCCCATTGTCTGTATCTTATGTGGCTTTCTTGAGTAGACTAGAATACTCAGTACGTGGGAGATCAGTAAGGAACTAAAGGACTTGATAATATTTTAGACCAACTAGATTAAACAGACTGAGATACTGCTTCTAATAGAGCAAAATATACTTTCTTCTCCAAAGCATATAGATAATTTTTCAGGGTAAGTCCGTATGTTAGGCCACAAACCTAGTTTCTAAAGAAGAAAAAGGTTGATGTATTTTGTCCAGCCACAATAGAGACACTAGAATGAGTAACAATAAATATATGGAAATTAACATACTCTTAATCAGTGTTTGTAGAAGAAATCGTAAGGAAAATTAGAAAAGAGATACTTGGAGATGGATAATACTGAAAGCACAAGATTCACAAAACTTCAGAGACGAAGCAAAGTCAGTGTTCTGGGGGATATATATGTCTATAAATTCCTACAATAAGGAATATCTCAATAATGTGTTTCCCCTCAAGGGAAAAAAATCCCAAGCTGAATCAAAAACTAGCAAGAGCAAGGAAGTGATAAATTGAGGATAATTGAAATAGTGGAAAGAAAACAATAAAAATCAGCAAAGCTAAAAGCCCTTTGAAACCATATTAAAATTGACAATGTCTTTAGAGCAACAAAAAAGAGAAAAGATAAAATATGAGGACATTACTCTAATGTCCTATAATGCAAATTATAGTACAATGTATAAAAAGTATAGAATATTATACTATAATGTAAATTACTGTGAGTCATTCAGAAAAAAGAATTATGAATACCATGAAATATTGTAGGCAAAAAAATGAGATATTCTAGATGAATTGGATGGGTTCTTAGAAGCATAATACCTCTCTTAGTGGTACCCAGCATACTGTTGAGCCAATCTTCATTAGGCAATGCATTTTCTTAGAAAGCAGAATGGAGGGTTTTTTACGTTTTGGGATGTGTAGTTTTTAAAATAAGGATCAAATTTCTTGGTATATCATCTTACTAATTTTACACCATCTTCTAGTATGTTCATCATTTAGCATGTTATTTATTGTGTCAGGTTAGTTTTTCTCCAAGTTGAATGTAGGTTCTCTTAGCTGTCCATAAGGTTAGCATGCATGGCTACTGGAACTTGGTGTACCATCTATAGTTTCACTGTTCTAACTTTATCCAAAGAGGAAATGAGGGTAGTTTTCATGTTGATTTATTTTTAGTAAAGCTGTGTTGCTTTTTGCAAGTATTTGCAGTCCTTTTCTTTTTTAGGTTAATTATTATTTTCTGTTTGTTGCTTTTTTGGTTTCTAGTATCTACATTATTGTTGTTGGTTGTTATGTGCCTTCAAGGTGCAATCCTATCTATGTACAACAGTCCTAAATCCTGTTCTATCCTGTGCCAATCTTATTGTCTCTGACACACCTACTCCCTGTAGCCAAGTCACTGAATCAATCCATCTCATCGAGGGTCTTCCTCTTCTGCACTGTTGTCCTTCCACCCTCCCAAGCATGACGTCTCTTTTCAAGGACTGCTCCCTCCTTGCAACATATCCAGAGTATGTCAGACAAAGCTTCAGAATCCTTGCCTCCAAGGAGCAGCTTGGTTTTATCCTCTTCAGGATGAACTCGTTTGTTCTCTTAGCAGTCCATGGTATATTTAATACTCTTCTCCAACACCATAGCTCAAAGGTATCAATTCTCCTTCTGTCATCCCTAGTCATTGTCCAGCTCTCTGATACATAGCAAGTGAGAGCAAAGACCATGCCCTGTATAAGGTGTGCCTTTATCTCCAGACTGACATCATTGCTCTTCAGTACTTTGGAGAGGTCTCTGACATCAGACTGTCCCAATGCAGTTCATCTTTTAATTTTCTGGCTGTTGTGAAGCCAAGCAAACTAAAGCTGTTAACAATCTTAAATTCTTGACCGTCCATCATAATGCTGCCAGTCAGCCAGGGGTGAGAATCTAGATTAAAAATAAAATTGTTTCTTAACCTTTGTTAAAAGACCCCACCACTTGCTGTTGGTTTGCCAGATTTTGATGCTGTAAGCTATGCCATTGATATTATAGTATCACCCATGGTGGACATGTATCAGCCAGACTTCCAGGCTATGAAGGACTAGAAAGAAGGGGACTTAGAGATTTTCTTCTGAACAAATTTGTCCAATGTAAATTTTATTAACACAGTAATACATGCTGAAAAGATGACGCTTTCATATTAGAAAGCAGTCAAAATACAAGAAGGAAGAGCATCCTTGTTATATACAGTAGAGCTGAACTTCTGACAAGGATGGAGTAAAACTTTGAAGACCTTTGTGGCATGTCTTAAAATGAAATTACTCCAAGTATCTAGTTATGGATTGTAGGAAATGTGCTTAAGAAAATTGGAATTTCTAAATTAAATGGAACACCTAAAGATAGATATTAGTGAAGCAGAATGCACTGGTATAACCATTTTTAATTGGTCATTCATGATTTTACTATTCCAGTGTCATGGCTGAATTATGTCCCCCAAAACACATGTATCTGATAATGTGGAACCCATGCAATAGTCCTGTAACCTGATTTTAAAAATCAGTTTTAAGAAGATTAAGGATGGGATGCAACACCTCTTAATCCCATTACTGCCTGAATGGATGTTAGGGGAATTTCCTGATGAGGTAATCTGTGTTTGCTATGACACTGAATCTTGTACCATTTGGGATTCAAATGCCATAATGGATCAACTGTTCCATAGATGTGCCAAACATCATAATGGCTTCCTATCATGGGCAGTGTTTGGTGAAGCTCCCAGATTGATTCAGGTTTGGTAGGAGGAGTGGCATCAAATTTTAAACCACATGCCTCTGGACACTCTACAAACTTGGAGAAACTATGATAGGTATAGAAAGGCTTCAGGCCGTTTGTTTATATATATCTTTGTTATTTAAAAGTCAGTTGGACCCAAGGGTCTAGTGTTTTATTTTGGAGGAACATTCTTGTAATTTGTACAGCACTCCTCTGTCAGTTTGCTGCACTGAGGTAATCTGGGTTTGCTGTGATGCTGAACCTTTGTAACATTGGAGAGCAAATGCCCTAATGGCTGCCCATGGTGGACAGTGTTTGGTGGAGCTCCCAGTTTAAGACAGGTTTGGAAGCAGGAGTGGCTTCCACTTCCTAAACCTAAACAGCATGCCTCTGAAAACCCTATGTATGAACTTGGAGAAAACGATGGTAATTATAGAAAGGCTTCCGGCCTTTTGCTCATAGGGTCGCTAAGAGTCAACGCTCAGCTCGATTGCAATAAATAACAATGACCTATAATGTTATGCTATGGCTAACATTGAGGATGAATGGGAATCCCAGAGCACGTAATTGTGGTCCTGCAAAACTTGTACCAGGCGGCTACTATGTGAACAGAGCAGGGGAACACTACATAGTTTCAAATTCAGGGATTGCATCAGGCTTGTGTACCTATTCAGTCTGTATGCTGAGCAGATTCAAGAAGCTTGACTCTGTGAAGAGGAATTTGGCATCAGGATCCAAGGGAAACTCATCGTTAACCTGTATTATATGCAAATGATACAACCCTGCTTGCTGAAAGTGAGGTGGACTTGAAGCACTTGTTGAAGTGAGGTAGACTTGAACTTGTTGCAGAAGATCAAAGGATGCAGCCCTTCATATGGATTGCATCTCACTGTCAAGAAAAAGATACCCCTGAACCAATAGGTGGCATCATGACTGATCAAGAAAGAATTGAAACTGTTAACAGCTTCATTTTACTTGGATCCACAATTAATACCCTTGGTACCACCACTAAGGAAATCAGAGACCTGTTGCCCTGGGAAAGTCTGAAGTTAGACACCTATCCAAATTATGAAAAGTAAGGATTTAGTTTGAGGACTAAAGTGCAGCTGATTCAGGCCATGATTGATCTTTCTACTCACTTGCTATGCATCTGAGAGCTGGACAATGAATACGGATTATGGAAGAGTTGAAGCCTTTGAGCTGTGGTGTTGGAGATGAGTGTAGAACTGCCAAAAGGGAAAAAATGTTTTGGAAGGGGCACAGGTGGAGTGCTCTTTGGAGGCCATGGTGATGAGGCTTCGCCTTACATACTTCAGGCATAGAATAGGAAGGGCTATTCTCTGGAGAGGGGTGTGATGCTCGGAAAGGTGGAGGGTCAGCAAAGGAGAAGAGATCATTTCTTACATGGTACAAGTAAGTCATTCTCAATTTCACTATTTTCTCGATTTATCATATTCCTTTTTTACTTTTATGGATTGTTGGTTATGTTTGTTAGTCCACACACCAGGGTTGTGTTTCTGATCTTCATCAGTAAGTGCTTCAAGTCCTCCTCACTTTTTGGCAAGCAAGGCTGTGTTGCTGGCGTATAGCATGTTGTTAATGAGTCTTATTCCAGCCTTGATACCACAGTCTTACTCCTATAGTATAGTTTCTCAGGCTCTTTGCCTAAATAAGTATGGTGACAAGATAAAAGGCCAATACATAACCTTTCATAATTTTAAGGCATGCAGTATGTTCAAATGATTACCTCTTAATCTTTGTACCATTTCTACCTGAGTACAGTTGAATGGTATAAAATTCTCATTCTTCAGAATATCCATGTATTATTATGATCTATAGAGTTGAATAACATGTTTGTGTAATCAATAAAACACAAGTAAACACCTTTCTGACATAACTGCTTTCAGTCCAGAATCCATCAGATAATAGCAGTAAAACCTCTAGTCCATGTTCTTTTCTGAATCTCTGCTCCAACTGCGATCTTCAGCAAAATTTTATCTTTTCTACTGCCTACATCATTCAATAATTTCTACCTTCTGTTAGATCATTTTTGTTTGGTACAAACATAAATATAGATCTCTTCAAATTGGTTAGCCAAATAGTTATCTTCCAAATATCTTTGCATAGAGAATTGAGTAATTCCAGTGTTACTATCTTGTTTGTTGAAACAACTCTGTCGATACTCCCTCGATTTCTGGATATTTACTCACCAGTGGCTTCAGTGCAGCTTCATCAGTACCATCAGTCTCAGATCACATATCATCTAAATTGTAACAAACCTTTTCTAAATACCTTTTCATAAAATTGCCAATCATAGAGAGGATAAAAACCAAAACAGCCTGCTGTTGATCAATTCTGATGCTTAGCAGCTCTTTGTAAAAACTATATACTTATGTCTTCTATTTATGTGGTTTGTTTTTGTTTTAATTTTTAGGATTGTGAGGGTGAAACTCCTATACATAAGGCGGCTCGATCTGGTAGCCTAGATTGCATAAGTGCCCTTGTGGCAAACGGAGCTTACATACAGTAAGTGTTTTGATTTATTCTTTTGAACTGAAGATACAGTAAAGGGTGTTGTGTTTAAAGACAATATTTAGAATAATTAAAAGTACTTAAAAATTTTAAAATAAAACAAGTAATATATGTCTTTTAAAATGAGCTGACAATGGGCAAATTTCTGTGTGGATCATGTTGACCACCAGTAGAAGGGGGCTTAGTTTCATTTCAGCCTTGAAGTTGTCTGTCATAAGAAACAGGGTAACTGGAGAGAATATAGCTAATTCAGTTTGTAATCTAAAAGCATCAGCTTTGCCAGCAACTTACTTGTGTCACTGCAGCCAAGTCTAAATTTTTCTACACTGTGTTTTATTTTGAGAGGCTCAGATTAAAGTTTGTTTTCAGGCCTCTCGACTCACGTAATTCCTAAGGCGCTTAGCTTTTTCTATGCTTTGATTGTCTTATCTTAGAAGATGTGAAAACATTACCTTTTAAAGCCTATTATGACATAATAATTTGTAGCTCTATAGAATGGAGCTTTATACATTAAAGAGGTAAAACTTGATTTAAGCTTTTGATGCTTAATGCCACATTATTTTAGAATATTCTTGCTTGAGCCCATTTAAGATCTATTAGCTCATGTATGTATGAGGAAAAAGATCACACTAAGTAAATTAATTTTAGAAATGTGATATTTTATGCCGTTTAAGCCATATCATTAAAGATTTATTTTAAACTCACTTGTATTAACTTTCTCTTAAAGATTTATTTTGTAAAAATTTTTCTTCTGCAGTTTACAGCATTAACAAAAATGGATGCGGTTTTCACCCTTAAATGTTGAGTGTAAGCTATTATAGCTGTAATAACCAAAATAACTAATACCAGCTTTTTTTGTTTTACTTTATTGAGTGTTTTGAATATTCCACAAAAATTAATTATAAACCTCTTTATTTTAATTGGAAATGTGAACATTTAGGTTTGGGGAGATATAAAAATGACATAACTAATTTATTTTAACCCTTTGGTTTCCATTTTATTCTTTTGACTCTGTATCACACTAAATACTGAAATTTATTTCTGTGCAGAAAAGCCATACTGGTTAATGCAAGGCAGTCCCAGTGACTGTCTTTAGTACTTTAGTCTTGGCTTCTGTTTCAAGTAAGTATATTGTCAAGATTATACTGATTTGGGCTTGGATCATGTAGTTATCTAGTGATTTAGTTCTAAAAATATGGACTGTATTAAGTTACATTGTGGGGATCTTTGTAACTTAATACATATGTAATTATTACTTTAGGTAAAGTGAAAACAATGAAATATTACACTGTTTTTAAAATATTTAATATAATTACAAATGGATTCTTTAATGTAACATGCAGTTTTATTAGCTGTATTTAAATTAAAAATTTCAGTCTTTTGATTGAAGCTTTGATTTTGAAATACAGAGTCATAAAAAGTAATTGGTTAAATCACTTTATTGTCATTTATTGAAATAATACATAATTAGAATTTTACCCCTTTTAACAAATTTTCTAAATAATACTATAATTGGTCCTGAATATACTCTTATAAATGTTAGTTTTATTAATAGATAGCTTAATTCTTTGAGCCAATAAAATCTGTCACTTGTCCTTAAAATATAGGTGTCTTTCTGAAAATGAGAATATTTTGTTTATAATTCTGTCCTTGATTACAGGACCCTCCAGTGTTTCTTTCCCCATCTCTTCCAACAGTGTGATTGAGCATGGCCTCAAGTGCCTCAGTCTGTTTTTCGTTCTCAGTATAAGAGCCACTCCCTCAAGACCCTGCATTATGGTGATTTCCCTTCATTGAATGCTTAGATTTTCATCTTTTTTTTTTTGAAGAAATATTTTGTCTGAGTCACCTAGCTTAAAAGCACTTTTAACCTAAAATTATGAGTTGATGGCCTGGAGATAGAGCAAGTAATCATTGTGATTATTTTATTTGTGGTGGTTTAATTTTAACATCTAAATAATTTTAGTTTTGTCAATAAGTTAAATTGCAAATTGGTTCTTGATATCTGTTCTGCACATTTTTATATTTTAACACTTTTATTAGTGTACCATCGTTAATGGTTTGGTCCGCTAAAAACAATGGTGCTTAGCTCTATTTTGTTTCCTATAGTTCTTCTCTTACAATGAAAGTGAAGTCTTAGCAAATAAAACTTTTTTTAAAAAACCCAAGAGGCACAGAATCATTTAAAGTTATTTTTTCTTTTCTAGTTCAGAATTGGCCACATGATTAATTATTCTTCTTACACCCTCTAGGAGAATATAAATTTTTTTTTCAATGAACAAATTAAAAACTATCATATGCCATTATTTTAAATTAATAATTTTGTTTTTTAATTCCTACTTTGCTTTTTATATATTTGCTACTTAAAATAGCCACAGTCTTAAAGTTGTTCTGTTTTATTAGTCCTTAGGGTAAATAATGAGGGCAAGTATACTAAGTATTTGTGGTAGAATGGCTTGTTATATAACTTACTTGTTAATGTAGGTTGCATCTATAACGCATATCAGCTGCTGTGCACCGTATTAAATTTTCTAGCACCACACGTGAGTATGTTAATGGACTTTCTTTTTCTTCTTATTTTAAATCTTGAGTTTTGGTGCCAAGTTTTCTTTCTCACTTGGAATTTTCTCTCACTAGCCTGGTGATCGTACTTGGCATTGTTTACATCTGAATATATATAGGATTGAATTTCTGTGAACATGCTAAATGTTTGTATACTTTAATATTTTAAATCATCAAACATCTGAAGACTTCCTCATTTTTTCCTCCCTGTATCTAACTACAGAATTTCATTAAAATTGTCATTATCCTTAATTTTGCTTATACTGTAGATCAGTTTTTCACTTTAAACCACTATTAAAATGTTTCATAATTAGTTTAATTGGAAAAAGGCATATACTAACATAACTGCCTCATTTTTCATCTGAATGATAGAACAGATGACTGCATAAGATTAAATTTTAACGTGATTGATGATAATTGAGCAAATTTGTTTTATAAAATGTTCTAAATAGCAGTATTTGAGTCTTAGATTAGTTTTAGTATTTTGATACCAATTCATTTTACTTTGTGTTTATTTTATTGAGAATTCAAGTAGAGAATACTTTTTCATATCAACTAGGTATAGTAGCCTTTCATTTATGCCTCTGAAAATAAAATTATATAGCTGTCGTTAGAATGAAACCAGAATTACTTTAAAAAATAACTTTGCTACCCCTTTTTTTAGTACTACATTTTACAGATGTAATATTTAGGTTATGCCAGAGTCATCCTACTTAGAGAATTTCTGTGCAGCTATTAATTCTGTAGGCTACATTTTTAAATATACTATATGCATTTTAAATTATTTTAATCTCAAAATTAATTTAGTTTTAATTTCCATATCACAAAAGCATCTGTACATGATTATCATAAAATCATAGCATATGACCTACTTAAGAAAGTAGGCACAACAGACTACAGTAACTGAAGTATATATTTGTTACTTTTTCTCCAGTATTTTTAAATGCTTAATTAAAATATATAATTGTTTAAATTTTGTTCATTATCAGTGTTGATCAGTTACCAGTTCCTTATTTAGAAGTAAAAAACTTGTTAGAGAAATAGACAAGGTGATCATATTTAAAGTTTTTGCCAGGAATTTATGCAACATTTACCACTGACAAAAAAATGTAAACAAGATATACTTTATTTAAATCTCCTTTATTATTATTATTATTATTATGATGATGATGATGATGATGATGGATTTGTGGTAAACCTGTGCTATGTTGTTGTTTGCCATTGAGTTGGAAGAGACCCATAGCTGAACCGCCAGCCAGTTTTCAAAGGCAGTAAAATTCCACGGGAGAAGATTGCCACTTCTTCCCTTGAGCAGCTGGTGGATTCGAACCACGTGCCTTTGAGATTGCAGCACATCTTCTACCAGTAGGCTACCAGAGCTCCTAATACTGACTTTAGTCTTTATAAAAATTGGAAAAATTTTAGAATCTGTTACTACTCATTTGTAAGTTAATTTTAATATGTAGTATACATAATATGAAGATACACTTTTCTCAAAACCCATTGCCAATGAGTCAGAAACTACTCATAGATGACCCTCCATTGGGTTTATAAGGCTATAAACCACATAGGAGGAAATGCCCATGGAGAAATGACCATTGGAGTCAGTGGTAGATTTAAACTGCCAGAGAGGCTTAACGCTGAAGTTAGCAACTCTACCCTCTATGGACTGTGCTAGAGACAATTATTTTAACGTATTTTTCTGTGAATGAACATTGTAATAGTTTTTAACTAGTACTGTGTATAATATCAAGGGATTTCCACCTCTTTCATATCTTTAAAAATAGTTTTAACAATTGGTTAGTATATTTAGTAGTATGGATGATTTCTTTTGCCTAAATTAATTGTGCACTTCTGAATAGAAGTCCCAATTATGAAATTCAGAAAATTGCTTTTGAATTGGTATTTAAGTCTTTAGTTCAGGGTATTGTCTGATTTTTATTGTTATCTTCACCATCCTAGTTTTGCTTTCTTTCTAATTGTCATTAAAACAAACTTGTCATTCCTATGTATTTTTTCTGTTTCCTGGCTCTTTTTATGCTTTAATTCTTAGTTTTGTTAGATAGGAACCTGTAGATATTGGAGTGACAGTATTCTGAAGTTGTTAATTTTTTTGTTGTTAGGGTTTTAATTGTTTTTCATAACAGCCTGAATAATATATACAATTTGATCATTGCCAGATTAATTCATTTTAAACATACTTAACCATTCCTTTCACAAATAAGCTTTGAATACAATCATTGGTTTCTAAATAAAAAATAATTTCTTTGCTGAATTACAATGAAAGAAAATTTTGTATATGTTTTCAAATGTTTTACATATTTTAATGTATGCAAACATAATATGGATGAAATTACAGAACAAAACAGTCTTTAGCCATGTTGAACTTGAAAACTTGGCACCAACTTTATTCAGGTTGAACATTGTAAAAATTAGTTTCTTCCTTTTGTTATGAAGACTATTTAAGAAAGTCTATAATAATTATTAAATGTTTGGATACCAAAGGGTTAAAAACACACATGTATTTCTTTTATTGAAGAAATTTTAGATGTTTACTAAAGTGTTGTCTGTACAAATGGATGTTAAGTAATGTTATTTTTTTTTTTTTAATGATTCCATATATTTGCTTATTTCCATCTAGGAATAGTTACTAATGTTTTTGAGATACCGCATACCAAATTTTAAAGTAACCAGAATCCGTGAGTCAATGGCTTTTAGTCCATACTATTAAACTTTTGTTGAAATATGGCATATTTAAATTGGCTTCATGCTAAAAAAGAAATATTACCTGAAGGTAATTTAAAAAGACAGTGTCCTAGAGCAGTATCTCATGGTTAAGGTGGTCACATGACAATGGCTTAAGCTCATTAAATGTGCTTTTCTGCACTTTATGTATGTATATGTATTTTTCATTGATGTTGCCTGCAAATATGTGATCCCTTCTTATTTAAGTTTCCTGTTTTATGAACCATTGCCCGTTTTAAATCAAACAGAAGATTCTGAATCTATAAAAACTACACATGTCAATGTTTTACAGCTACGTAATTCGAATTGACTTGATTTTTTCAAGTAATCCTAGAAAGGGGGAGCATTCCATATAGAAACTGCTGAAACTGCCACAGGTGCTTCTCCGAAAACCTTACAGTTGTGGCATTGAATGTTCAGTATCGCTTCCTTTCTGCACACAAGGCATACTGTTGAGGTATTTGTTGCGGTGATTGGTTTTAATGCTAATCTAGGAATTCAGATATAGATTCTTTAGATTTGCATGCTTTGCTTACCCTAATTTATGATATCTACCTTTTTATTTGTAAACTAACAGTAGATAAGATCAGATCAGAATTTTAACAGAAAGATTTATATAAAAATTGTGGTAATCTTTTGTTGTCACATGGCATTAATAAAAAGAAAACATCCTAAGGGTGATGTGACAATTCTGATTTCTAAAAAATTTTTCAGGCATTTCCTGATCAGTGCTTTTTAAAATATTAAAAGCAAAAACCCAACTTATTAGAATGACTTCTTGTAAATTTCTGATTTTATTGTGGCACTTTAAGTGGAACATAGATGGAGGCTTAGCTGCTAGCACATTAAAATTTTATTTTAATGTTATTTTGATGGCATTCTTAGTTAAAACATTTTAGCAAAAGGTTTTGCTTGTGAGAATTGACAGAAATAGGAAATGTCTTATAGCATCTAAATAAATGCGTTTATACCAACCTAAAAATCTAATTATGCCAACTTTTTTTGATAGAAGATCAGTTCTAAACACTTAAAATTATCAATGTCAATATAAAAATAACTAGTAGCTCATAAAGCTATTGTTTGCTTTGCAAAAATTTTGCGGATGAATACTAAAGCCTACAAGGGGTGAATTATAGCTAGCTTTGGAATGCCCTCACATCAGGCTCCTGCATGTGAGTCCTCCTGTTCTCAGAAATAGAGATAAATTTTAGATCATGCCAGAGTCTGTCCACAGTGCATCAAAATGAAAATGTTATTTTATATTGTTATTAAAACTTCAATTAAAATGAATGCATACAGTTTCATTACAGCCTCACCATTAACTTGGAAAGTGAGTTAACCATACCAGAGCCCTCTTGCAATCTATACATTTAATATTTATTTATTTTAGTATTTGAGAAGCTCACGGACTTTTTAGCCTCTATGTTACTGTTTCATCGGGTGGAAACCAATCCATAGCTGACCCTCGGTGGGTTTTCAGAGGCAGTAAATCTTCATGGAAGGAGATTGCCCATCTTTCTCTCAAGGAGAAGCTGATGAATTCAAACTGCATGTCTACAGCATTGCAGCACAGCTATGTAGCCCCTCTCATAGTTTAAAACTCTCATCTACTTCTTCATCAGCTATTAAAAAATAGCTTGAGAAACTGAATCCTGAGAAGATAACTTTTATTCGTGGTCACCACATGGACTAACAAATGTTAAAGCTCTGAGAACTTGTAATAATTTCTTCTCCATTTTAGTAGTTTTTATTATATTACTTTATTATTAACCTTGTTTTCTTGCTTTTATTACTAAAGCTTTACCCTTATACATTTTTCTTTATATTGAACATTTTGCAACAAAAATGACATCTTTTTTAACATCAATTTTTTAAAAAAATTTTTGGATTTGGGGTTTCCCCAATTAGAAATGACTAGTGCAGCATGGCCAGATAACTGTTAAAAGAGCAGAGTATGTACATATATCAGTGGTTGGTCAGATCTGGCTCATTGTTTTTGTGTAGCCTACACACTTTCAAAATTGGCTGTTCCACATGAGAAAGATATACAGTTTCCTCCCATGGAATTTACAGCCTCTGAAAAATGGCTGGGAGTTCAGTTAGTTGATTCTGACTAAACAACCCATAACATGCTAAAAATGATTTTTATATTTTTAAATTGCTGAGAGAGAATAAAGTAGAATGATTTTATGACATAAATTATATGACGTTCAGATTTTTTTTTTAATCCATAAGGCAGCTTTTTTAGATCATCACTGACTCATTGCCATCAACTTGGAGCTGATTCATAACTGACCATCTACTAGGTGCTGTGAGTCGCACAAGAAGAGATGCCCATCTTGCTTAATTTTGTGTTACCAAAGGCTGTTTAGAGACAGTTGTGACTGATATTAATAAATTATTGCTGGTCATCACTGGGCCATCTGTTGATGTCTTCTAAAAAGAAAGTGGTAAAAATCCCATTTGTGTAGTTAGGTATGTTATACTCAAAAAGTTATTAAAAATTATGTGATCATTTTGTACAAGTGTATAGTATGATTAGCTCTGCCAAAATTTGGAGTTTCATTTGCATTTAATTAATACGTTAAAATAAACATATTATGGAAACCTATCATAAAAGTACTCACCAGAATTTTACACTCATGATGTGTTAGGCAAATGTTAAGTTTTGTTTATAATCTCAATTCACAACTACTATGTATTTTTGGGAACATTTTCTTGCTCCTGGATTCCCAGATAACATCTGATCAAATTGTCTTCCATCAAAATATGTAACACTTCTTTCTCTTGTACTTTGGGAAAAAATAAAGACAGCTAATTTTTTTTTTTTTTAGACAGCTAATTTTTTTAAAAAAATCTTCGTGGTGGTTTTTCCCCTGCTGGTTGGAGCTTTATTATTATGACTGGAAATGTTAATAGAAAGGTTATAGCTGCATTTATAAATAGAAAATCCCTTTTGGTCCCTGTAGCTTTCACTTTAAAAGTTTATTTTGCCAATACAGTAACAACTCTTGGAATCATACCAAGGGGTCTGCATTGATGATTTCATAGATGCAAAACTGGCCTTTTCATTTATTGTCACTTTGCTAGGTATACATATAGCATAGTATACTAGTTGGAGAAGTTTTGTCAGTCTGTACAGACAAAATGTTTTGTATTTTCACAGAGAAGTTCATTCTTAAATGTTTTACTTTCTTAGAATCTTATTCAGATCTTTTCATTTCTATTCTGCCACCATTTTCTACTTTGATCTGAATTTTTAACTATTTTAGAATGTAACTAGCTTTGATTGTAGAGTTATTAGTCGCATGTGATGGTTCGGGTCCTTATAGTAGTAAAAATTTTAACCTAGAGAATAAGTCCCTAGAATTGTAATAGAAAACTTTCTAATGGAAATAGTCACTCAAATGTTCTAGGATGCCAAAATGTATTAGTCCTACAACTTTTTCAAAGCAAGGAAAAAATAAAGCACAAAAATTCCAGCTTTTAAATTGGATGATCATTAATCTCAAGACATCCTTCTAAACTTCCACTTAAAGTGTCATATGTTAGTATAAAATCTGCTTTAAGCAAACTTAGCTTCCTGTAAATCAATTATTTTTATATGTAGGAAGCCATATATTATGAATGCCATGGACAATTGCAGTACATGTTTGTTTGTTTTAATTTTATTCAAGTTAAAGGAATGAATTATTACATTTTAGTACAGATAATACAGAATTCCATGTCAGGTTAAGTCTGAAGTTAGCATAAGTTTAGGTTCTTCAGACTAACATAAAACATGATCTTAAGAAGTTAAATAGGAAAATAACTTTTTAAAAACAGTTTAGTACATTGATTTATAAATTATCTCCCAAATCTTGCTTAGAAATCAAATGTGTATAAGAAAAGTTAGTTACAGAAGTAGAATAAATGGGAATTTGATGTAAATTTGTGTAATCTTTCATGCCACTTTCAGATAGTTAGTCAGCAGCAGGAACAAAAACCCCAGCTCAAATGTTAATGGAATGTAATTCAGGTTTTTTGTGTCATACAGCCTGAGAAATGCCAGTGGCCTGACAGCAGCAGACATTGCACAAACCCAGGGTTTTCAAGAATGTACCCAGTTTCTCTTGAACCTCCAGAATTGTCATCGGAACGGTTTCTATAACAATGGCACCTTAAATGGGGTTCATCAGAATATATTCCCCAATCATATTAGTACGAGAACAAATCGAAAGAGATCGTTTGAAGATTCGGAATCCATTGGCATAAAGAAAGCTAGAATGGAAGGTGAGACTGCGTCTTGGGTGGGAAGGAAGAGATTTTTGCTTTGTTTGTGTCTTTTTTTATGGCTAAAAGCTTAGAGATGAGGTCTTCACTTAAAGTGATAAATGTACTCCTAGGATTCTTATGTGGGGAAGATAGGGTTCCTTTTTTTCTTTCCTGTAGTGCCTCTTTGTAGATTGAACAGTTCTATAAATGTCTATAACTTTCATAGCACTCAAGTTTACCTATCATGAAATGCAGTTCTCCCCATTTGTTACTGTATGTTTCAAATGTAACTATTAAAATAATCTGTCACTGTGCCTGACCTTTGTTTTTTTTTTAATTTTTATGAATGATACTAAGCATTTATTAACTGATGTATGGCATTAAAATGTGTTTTTACCTTTGGGAAAATAAATGTTTCCAAACTTTGAACATTTAAAAACACTGTGGTAGAACAGTGTTTCATCTGGTCTCTATATTCCCATATTTTACTGTATGTATATTTACTTATCACACAAGATCCAGTGTGTCAACTTGATATTGAAAGGTAAGTTACTTTAGATTGTTTTGGAGTTTGTAGATATGTAGAGTTTAATGAGTTATTACTTAATTTGGGCAGCAAAAACCCTTAGAAGTTAAATACATAAATATGATTGAGATTGTTTTAAACAGAAGACAAAATGAATTAACTTTTCATTCCAGGAATACTCAGACATATTATGTGACATTGAAAGGGAGAGTTAGATATGGTAACAACTCAGAATTGAAAGTAATCATGTTGAAATTATGATTTGAAATAGGATTTACTGAAGATCAATTCCTCTTCTGTGAGGTTAAATAAAAAAGGAATGAGTCAAGTGCTGTCTAGATAGAACATGAATTCATCCTTAAAGATTTAGCAGGTTTAGTCGCATCGGAGAGTTGGACAATGACTAGGGAGGATAGAAGGAAAATTGATGCCTTTGAGCTGTGACGCTGGAGAAGAGTATTGAATGTACCATGGACTGCCAAGAAAACAGATTCAACCTGGAGAGTGTTAAACCAGGCTATTCCTTGGAGGCAAGGATTCTGGGGCTTCGTCTAACATACTTTGGACATGTTGTAAGGAGGGACAGGTCCTTGCATAGGGACATGATGCTTGGGAAGGTGGAGGGACAGTGCAGGAGGGGAAGATCCTCTATGAGGTGGATTGATTCAGTGACTGGGGTAATTGGGATGGGTGTGTCAGAGGCAGTGTGATTGGCACAGAATAAGAGCAGGGTTTAGGGCTGTTTGTTGTACATTGGGTTGCTAGGAGTTGCAAATGACTTGACAGTAGATAACAGTCACCTTTAAATTTGATGAGAGTCAACATTATATTCTTTTTTTATTCTGTACTTGGTGTAATTTAACTATACAATATCCAAATGAAAACTTTTTATATAAAGTTTCATAGTGAAAATGTCCACATTATCACCATCTCACCTGTTGACTCTTCAGATTATTTATTTTGTACAATTAAGTATATGTACCACCTAACTGCCATCAAGTCCATCTTTGACTCAAAGCAGCCCTCTATCAGAGATTAGGGAAAAGGGTATATGGGTTTTAGCCACTTTGGCAAATGATAAGTAAGTGCTTGAAATTTGAGATTAAAAAACCAAGGCCTCTGTAAGTGAATTTATTTGCTTCTCATTTCATATGACAGTTATGTCTGTCTATGTTGTATATACATACATATGAAATGCATATAATTTGTACGTTTCTTCCACTTTTCATTATGTTCTCAGACTTCCAATAAATTACTATTTATAAGCTTATAAAAGTTTTAGTAACTTGAGAATACAGTTGTGTTCAAATAGCCGAGTACTATGTTTTGTCTTTTTAAATATGATTTCTTAGAATATAAATAGCTGCAATATGAAAAGATGATTTCAGCTCTTAGTGGTGTACATTCAGTTTAGCAGACTGCATACACCACCTCTGTTCATTGGAGAGCTAGGCATTTTTTTGGTAAAGACCAAAGTGTCCAACATGTTTTATTCAGAACGTATATTTTTGTGTTGTGGAACCCCTCTCCTATGCTCTTGCAACAAAACCCAGAAGCCCTCCCTTGTGTGTATTTTAAAATGTCACTTTTGCTCTTTGAACACACTCATTGTTAGGAGTGCCACTTTCCACTTCATTGTGTTGTGTTCACAGTTTGGCTATTATTCACACTGGGACAATGTCCAAATCCCATGAAGAAAAATCCCTTTTAGAAAAACCCCAATTTTGACTTGTTAATTGCCTTTGAGTTGAAACTGACGTATCTCTCCAAGCAGATTTTTTTTCAGAGATTATTAATGGAAGAGATTGCCCTTCTTACCTACGTGGGGCTGCTGGTAGATTCAAACCACATGTTGTCTTTGGGTTAATAGCACACTCCATATGGGATCTAGCAGAACTCCAAATTTGGGCTTTGGGTACCTTAGAGACAAGACCCCAGTGATACCCAGTCTGAAACCATAACGTTCTGCATCTATAGTGAGCAAAGTAAACAGCCCCTACTTTGCTTAGTTAATTCTTACCAGCCAAATACAGAGGTGCTTTCTAGTTGACTGTGACAGCTAGTTCTGTGGACCACAGAACAAAAACTTAACCTGTCTTGTACTCGCCCTCGCCATCCCTGCAGCACTTAGACCCTTTGGTATAGTTTGCTGTCCATCTCATTGAGGGCCGTCCACTCTTCGTTGACCATCTCCTTTTCCAAGCATTATACCTTTTTCCACATTTTCCCTTCCTGGCAAGATGGCCAAAGTATATGAGACATTTTCACCATCCTTTGAAAACATGTTTGAGAATTTCACTGAGGTGAACTGAGGAAATTACCTCCAAAAGATAGTTTTATACTGTTGAGTCAGAATCAACTCCGCTTGCTACTGATTCTCAGAGGCTGTAATTCGCACTGAGGTGATTGCCTGTCTTTCCTGTGGAGCAGCTAGTGGATTTGAGCCACGTGGCTTTGGTTAGCAATGTATACATTTATTAGCTGTATGAGTGCATCTTCCTGACTGGAATTTCAAGTTTCTTGGTATGACAATATCAAGTTCCATTCATTTCTGTAATTAGTATCTAGCTGTAACAATTGTGTGCTGTCAAGTAATGACCCACTTATAGCTGACATTGCACGGGGGATTCAAACCACGTGCTTTTGGAATGTAAAGCCTTTTTTTACTCCTAGGCCACCAGAGCTTCCTAGGTAAAGCATTTTTCGAACTGCTAACTCAGTAGATTGGGAGGTATTTGTTTTGTTCTAGAATGGTTTTGAAAGGCTTTAAGAGTTTACTCAGCCCTCAAAATTTGCAGACTACCAACACAGCCTTGCCAAATTGCTGGCACAGGATCCCCAAGTAAACCAAAGCTACCCTCAACCCAGAGCATTGATCTCCCAGGTTAAGAATGAGCTTAGTTCTTGGCCAGAGGCATGTTAAATCTTGCTTTTTGTCACTGAAGGTGCCAGAGTGGTGTTTAACTGCCTGTGATTCCCATATATGGAGAAAGGAGGTTTTGAATGAGTTACGTAGTTCTCTATCAAATATTCAGTATTTAAAGTTACTCTGTCTCGACAATAAATGCGTACTATGGCAATGAAGTTAAAAAGCAAGAATAAAAGTTGCCACATCTTAACAATGAAAGTCCGGAGAAAGGGATAAAAACATCATTCCTTCCTAATACGTGAATAAAGTCGAGATTGCTAACTTCAGAAGGAGACATTCTGTCTAAAGTGACAGTGGCACAGCTTTCCTGTTTCTTTGAATACTCTGTCTACTTAAAATACTGGTGGAAGAGAATGCTGCACCTTAGTGGGAGGCAGCAACATTGTTAAATGCATTGTTAATATGGAGAGGCCAGTTTAAATTTGCTTTATAAAATAACAGGTTTTAAAAATAACTAATTTGGCATTTTTACTGCTATCATAGTTAATTGGGCACTTCAAGTTTAGTCCTAACAAGATAAACAAGAAAATCTGCCCTTGGAAGGGAGCATTATACCTCAGGATTTAAGTATCTGATAGGTTTATACATAAATCTATATGCCTTTTGAAATAGGTAGTGAAATGATAGGGTTTTAAATGCTTTCCACAATTAAAAAATAAAAAGCAAGGGGTTTTGATCTGTTTTCATTGCTTTCTTAGTGGTAAATTTTGTATCGGAATTAACAAATGTGCTAACTAGCATGTTCAGGCAGGTCAGAATTCACAGTGTACTGCCCCTAGTGGTAGCTAGGCTTTCTTTTTAAACATTTTGTAGCCTGTCTAAATTAGTATTGTGATTTTCCCCCACATTTAATCATTGATGCATTCTCATTTTTGTGAGTTCTGCCCACTCCCTCAGCTATTGAGTGATCTGTTTATTGATCGCAGGTACTTAAAAGGTGTTGGGGTTTGAGAGAGATGGAAAAGGCAGATATCCAAGCTTTCATGTCTGAACTGTCAGTTTTTCTCATTGCTTTTCAGTTGTCAAATACCTTTGTAGTTTCCACTTCCCAAGGAAAATTGCCATCCAAATTTCAAGACAAAACCACACCACTGAGTACGTAAATAGGTAGATTATACCTCCAGTGAAGTCTTTACCAGTTACAGTTGTGGTCTTGATACGGTAGTTTCCAGCACTTGTCAGTGAAAGGAAAATCATTGATGTAGCAGGCTTTGTGTTAAGTGGAGAGCAAAATACCCAATTGGATTTAAAGCTTGATCCCTGTGCTGGCTTCTAAAAGCACTTTGGAAATCAGGCTCTGCTCTAACTTGATTTCTTTGTTCATAGGAACTATGCATACATCTTTCTCTCATTGCCAAAGAGTCAGAACTGACTCACAGCTGACCCTCCAGTGGGTTTTCAGAGGCTGTAAATGACACAGGAAGAGTGCCCATCTTTCTCTCACAGGCCACCTGGAAGATTAGGATGTTTTCCATTTCTTGTATTTTGGTACACAAGTCAACTGCCATTCTGGGACAGTATTGACAAGCTTGTCTATTAACCATTTAAAATAAGAGTTATTTTTTTTTTCTAAAATGTAAAGATTGTTTTGATGGGTTGGTTTTTTCCCCCATGTTGATGATTGTTTTAGTAAACTCAAATATATTTGAAGGGACTTTTTTTGGACACAATAGATATTTGAGAAAAAATTTTAATATATCCATGGGCTATCTAATGCTTTATAAAAGCTGTAAAAAATAATTTTTTTAAACAAGTAAATAAAACTATCTTAAATTCCATGAATTTTAGTTCAAAGTTTGCATGTTTCAAGAAACACTGAAGAAGTAAGTTTCTCAGTACTTTAACTGGGTTATTTTAGTAATACTAGATTTTTAATTTCTTTGACAGTTTTAAAGTAGTTTATATTATTTGTCTGTTTTAAAGTGACTTGACAGAAGGAAAAAGAATTTGTCTTAAAATCTTGCACATACAGCAGAATCTAAAATAGTCTTTGTTTTCTGTGCAGCTCAAAGCTTGGATTATTCCATGTCACTAGTGAACAGCGAAGCAGAAGATGACGCTGACAAAATGCACATTGATAGAGAATTTGCTGTTGTAACAGGTGGGAGTGGACAATTTCCTGTTAACTGCAACAACAATCAAATGGTTGAAGACAACAGACAGCAGGAGAGTAGTTCTGTTGGACCAAAAGAAATAGAAATATATACTGTTTCAGCAATGCAAACTCCTTGTCGTTGCAAGAATCAGTATGCATATTATTTCTAACAATTTTCTCTAAAGCGTTATTTTTGCACTTTGTTGTCCAGTGTCTTCAAAAAATGTTAAACTATAATTTGCCTTTCTTGGACAAGTTTGTTGAGATAAAGATAAGTATTTTGGGTGCATTCTTAATGGATATGAAAAATAGAAGTGCAATCATTTTGGTTTAAGGCTTTTGCTTAATGTGCCTTACTTGGTTTTTAATGAAGTTTTTACATTTTTAATTTTCTGATAAATACCAAACATGCTATTGCTGGTATTTTGAAAACAATATACAAGGACAACTAATTGTAAACCATTAAGTTGAGTTGTAATCCAAATACACCAATATAGTTTCTGTGGCATACAGAATTAAGTCTGTTAAAGATACTATACACTGTTTGAAAAAGCACACATTATAATATGTAAAATTTTTTTAATATATTCAGATAGAGGAATTGATAGTCCTGTTTTTAATTTTTAAAAAGCAGAGACTCCATTTCTTCTAGCACTTAGAATGTTTAAGAAGTATTCAGTGCTTTTTTTGGTACTGTTTGTTTTTATTGAAATGATCTAGGAAAGATTTTAGGCTATTCATGTTCATATATTTTAAAATATACATATTATGAATATATATGTTGCTATATTGAGAGATAATTTTTTATAAAGTTTCATTATTGTATCTTTCTATACTAGTTTCTTCACTGGGGATAAATTTTGCTTCTCAAATATACATGAAAATATTTCTGTTCACTAGAATTAATATTTACATCTTTCTAAAAACTACAGGGTTGCATGTACAGTTCCCTTGTTGCCAAGTAACTAAATCGATAGATTTTCCAAGGGGATTCCTATTTGGCTAATATATTTAAAACAACACATTTTCTGAAGTCAGAGACTATTTGACTTTAACTGAAGGACAAATTAAAGACTCCTGATAGCAGAGTGTTCATTTGCAAGTCCAACTAGCTACTCCACATGACAAAGGCCCAGTGACCTGCTCCCATGGAGATTACGGCCAAGAAAACTTTATGGAGCAGTCCTTTCTCACAGCAGTTATCTCCTGAGTCATCTCAATGACTCCAACAGTAGTAAACACAAATACAGAATTCATTAACAGACACTGCTATGTGTTCTGGGATATGGGGGGTAATCTTAATTTTCTAAGTATTAGGAGTTTTTTGTTCAATAGAAAATGAAATTTGAATAGAAAGAGTGACAAAGTCATGCTATATTTCAAACTAAACTCATTCCATGTAACAGGTGCCAAACAAGTATTCCCTTTTTCATCATTTTGACTTCCAAAACTACCTAATTAAATAAACTTAGCAGTAATGATTATTTGGAGGTCTTTGGTGGCCGAGTGGGTGAGGAGTTGAGCTGTCAACCCAAAGCAGTCAGTTTGAATCTGCTCTGCCGGAGAATGATGGACAATCTCCTCTCATGTGATTTATAGTGCCTGACAACCCACAGGAGTGTCAGCTTTGAACAGCACATACCAACAATGATTACTTGTTTTTATTTTTAGAAAATAATTAATTAATATAAATATTACCCTACGGGTTATTTATTTTTGTTTTTAGTTCGTTTTTCATCTTTGTAAAACCTCTTAAACATGAAGGCTATTTTATTTGGGAAAAATTTATTTTCCTTTGAAGAATTTATAGCAGTTATGAAAATATGATATTGCTTATATTGTCAAAATATTGTGATTAATGAGAGAGTTAATGAAATGATTTTTGTTTGTTGAACAAGCCATGTTGCTTTGTTGACAGGAAGTAGGTTGAAATGACTTGCCAGAATCTATTTTAGAGTGCAAATCAGAAGTATATAGGTGGTGAAAGTGAAAATAAAGTGTGTGTGTGTGTGTGTGTGTGTGTGTGTGTGTGTGTGTGTGTTATATAAGGGTAATTAGATGTTCATAAAATGTGTTCTTATTCTGAGTTACCAGAACTGAGCTCTTCTATATTCAATATCATATCTTGTTTTAGTAGAGCAAAATGAACATTTAGTAATATTGCTGAGCAAGAGATGATTTTTAAAAAAACCATTCTCTATAGTTCTGTGAATTCCTATGGATATTAATTCTTTATTTCAAACATACAGAAAAATAACTTGTAATTGCCTCTTTCAGCATGTTTGTACATTTTGCAATTCCAAGCTTTAAGACATCTTTCTCTTAATGGATGTCCATATAAGCAGATTAAACTATTAACATTTTTTCCTAACATAAATGGTTTTTTAAAGTAACCTTATAAAATGAAACCTTAGATATCAGTCATTTTCATAACTGAATTCATAAGAACCTATTCACACTATGCTGTTGGTACAAGACTGTATGCATGAGAATCGTTAGGATTCATAGCTCCTTTCTGTAGATGCCGATTTTCTCTGTACTCTGCCAATGCTATTATGTGACTTTTGCAGAAGTACTATGCAGATTTGTATGCTACTAAGAAAAACAAAATTGTTCTTTATTACTGTTTATTCTTCCTTGACTTGAACAATTTTAAAAAACATAAGATGCTGTCTTATATCACCTTGAAAAAACTATTAATTCACCTGCTTCATTTACCTTTTTTTAAAAAAAAAAAGTGTTGGAGAGGTTTTTGTATTTTCTTTTAACCCTTTTTGGAAAACCCTAACATTCAGATCTGGTGGACTTCTTCAGGGACAAGTTTAAAATTTACTTTTAGAAAGTAGTCGCAAAATTGTAAGTTTTTTTGATGACTTTTCAGTACTGGGTGATGTACTCTGGTGATGTAGATCATAGCGTTGTACTGCTTACCCACACGCCTTTGGCAGTTCGCATTCACCAGTGACTCTGTGTGAGAAAATTGAGCAATCTCTTCCTGTCTGATATGCAGCTTTGGAGACCCACTGAAAAATCAGTTGTGAGTTGGTTCTGACTCCATGGCAATGACTTGACTCAGTACTGTTGATACTGTACCTGCATTGCGTTTGTCAAGTTACATTTTTAAATTTGACCACTTAGTGCTACTGAAATTCATAAAATTTTCACGTTACAAGGCAAATACTATTGTATTTTTAAATCTACCTATGCAGTTTGTACCTTGGAAAAGGAACTGGTGTTTTGTTTTAAAAAGAAAGAAATCTTAGCTGCAGTGAAGCATTTTATAGGGGTGGGGTTTTTTTCCCCTCCCTTGTTGGTTCTGAATTTTGGTGACAGGTGTATTTCTTAATGCAGATATGAAAAACAGTAGCTCCGTATCGAATACTTTGACAAATGGATGTGTCATCAATGGACATTTGGACTTCCTCTCCACGACACAGCTCAATGGGATGGAAAAGAGGAATGACCAGTGCTTAACAGGATCTAATGGAATTAGCAATGGACTAATTCCAGGACTGCCATTTATGAGTAGCCAGAGCTCTCACTGCGTTAATAGCATTGAGGAGCCAGAAAGGACAATGAATGTTAACTCTGATATGTGTGGTTCTCTGCACCTGAATGGGAGTCCAAGTAGCTGTGTAGCTAATAGACCTTCATGGGTGGATGATATTGGGGAGAATTTGCAGTATGGACATTACCATGGGTTTGGGGATACTGCTGAAAGCATCCCTGAACTTCTTAATAGTGTTGTAGAGCATTCCATTTCTGTTAAAGTAGAAGAAAGATACGACAATGCTGTCTTGGGTACAATGCACCTTTATCATGGCTCTTAAAACATTTCTGACTTGTCTTGTGTCTGAAATGCATTCATTCTTCCTGTTAACCAACTCAGAATATTACTGTAGCATTAATTTGAAGGAATACCACAACTTGTACTTCTTTTATGTATATAATCTGACTTACTGACAAAAGAAACTGTTTAATAGTTTTCCTCATTTGTCCTCGTTTGTGCGTAAGTAGGGCTTATTTGGTGCATTGGTGCGTATTTCAGTCCTTTTATAAGATGCACTTTGGAATTTAGTTTTTTGTCACCAAACTCAATATTTCTTTTTCAGACTGTCACTAGAAGTGGTTGTTTCTTTTCGTCAGATTAAATGACATCTAGTTAAGATAAATTAGAAGGCAGTAAATACTGGTGCCTAGTAATTTATCTACATTTGCACATGACAGAATAAAGCTATTTCACTATGCAAGACACAGCCTTACAACCAATTTCTTACAGTGTTTGTATGAAGAAAAGAGCTGGTGTCTTTCAGTGTCCTTTGACATCACCTTTTTAACTTCCACGTGCTGATGATTTTAACTGTAAACACATAGCGTGATTTGGGGTGTAAAATGGTCTCACTTTAATGATGTCAAGTAGATTACTAATGTGTGTCACTGAAAAAAGGTTCAGCGTGAGATTTCCGAGTTGTGTTTTTTATTCTGCATTTCCTACTTTGTCTCTGAATTTTTTACCACAGATAACAGTTTCCTTTACCTGTAGTATAAATCACTATTTACAGGAACTGTGAGGTGAAAATACTTAACTATTTTGACTTATATTTTCTTTTCTCATTGTATTTGGTTTTGGTGGGAGGGTTTCTGCTTAAAATACATATTGCTATGTATATCCAGTTAACTGAGAGAATTTTTAATCTCTTAAAAAACTGCATTACTTTTATGGTTTATAGGTGTTAGTTTTTGTTTAGACAACTTAGCATTTACACTGTGCAAATATTGTAATGAATTTTTACTTTTCTGATTTTTTTTGTAATAAAAATGGGTGAAAATGGAGAAAATGTAAAAAATATAAACCAAGGTTCTCAGTGTGTTACTGACCATTTGTTTTAAAACTTTCCTTTACAAATTGAATAATAAAAAACAAATGCTTACACTCAATTTATTCCTGTGATGTCGTTTCTTTTGGAAGATAGGTGAAGGTGTCCATGGGCAGAATGAGAAGGGAGATAAAATTTTTGTATTGCATTTTATTTTGTTTATAAACTTTACTTTGTTCTTTCTTACTCTCTTTTAGTATTTCTGTGTTATTTGAAGAATAATGCAACTTGTGATTTATTAGTACTGAGCTAATAAAACCTGTGGTCTATCTCATCAGGACTGCCTCTTTCCCAGGTTACACCAAGTTTTCTGTCTTTAGGATGGCACCTGCCACTTTTCCAACACTCTTTAGTGGGAAGTTTGTATTTCCCATTTCTTAGCGCAAATTTACACACACTGTCAAGATCATGGTTAGTGGATAGGAGTTTTGCAGCATTACAAATTTATTTTTTTTATGTATATAAAAGCTCTAATTCCATCTACAACAATGAATGAATGGCAATCCAAAGCCTCTGTAAATTTTCACTGAAATTAATAACAAATTTAAATTTAAAAAAAAAAAAGAATTAAGTTAGAGTAAGGATGGCAATGGAACCACCTTACCTCTGTAACTTGATTTGTGCCACTATTATAACCTCTACTCAGAATATTATTGGTTTTCAATTTTTGACTCATGCATTTTTAACTTGTTAGTTAAAGTTGTATCTTCTAGGCTGCAACACTTCCATGATACATCTTCAGGTATATGAACATGTACGGCTAAGCACAATTGATAACAATGCATCTAAATTCCAAAATCAATCTCCATAATAGTCTATGTGTTTCCTACTGCCAAGGGGGCCCTTTAGAGTAGTGAGAGAAGATCTTCACCCTGAAACCCACAGCTTCCCTTTTCAGGAGGAAGTAGCTAAGAGAATACGCCATCCCCTTTTCCTTATGAATCAGGGTGAAGTCTCTCTCAGGGAGGAGTGATAGGGAATGGCAAGGGACACACTGACAAAGATTAATCAGAACTGGCTTTGACAAGCACTGTGGCAATTGGACAATTAAAACAGACATTGGGGTGGGGGAAGAAGAATGAACTGGGGAGGAGGGTGGAGAAAACAGTGCAACAATGAATGAATGAAAACCCAAAATCTCTGTAAATGTTCATTAAAACTAATAAAATTTAATAATTAAAAAAACTCTAATTCCATCGTTGGTGATAAATACTGCTAGTTGCTTGCCTAGAAATGACAGGCTCACTTGGTTTATTTTGGAGGAGGGGGTGGGAAGGTAAACAGCCAAGTCTGAATTACTATGTCAGTCATTCTTTGAAATAAAAATGCTGTTTCATGAAAAAAATGAAAAGCAACCTAGAAAACCAGCTAGTTCAACTTGCAGCCTAGTCACATAGTGCTATTCTTGGAGCTAAGTGTTCTGTTAAGCTTGGGACAAATGCTTTATACGTACTTGCATTTTGTCACACAGACCACATAGGAGTTGAAATAAATTCTTTTTATGCCTTCATGAAATAGTCTTAAATGGGCTCTTAATTTCTCTTTTTAAACTGCTGAACAGTGTATATGACAAATCACATATTTTTTGCTGAAATATTCTTGCTAAGGCACTGGCAGTTTTACCTATCGTCTCTTTTAAAACACCAGTGCAAATATCATTAGTCAGAAAGCAAATTACATACTAGTATAGTTTTTGTGTAAGATAAACTTGTCAGTGATTTCATCTTGCTTGGATGCACAATCCACTTCCTTGGCCCCAAAACCGATCAGAAAAACATTGCATTAGAAGTCTGCTGTCAGACTTCTTCAAGGTACCAAAGTTCAGTGATGTCAGTTTGAAGATTAAGATGTACCTGATCCAATCCGTAATCTTTTCAGTTACTTTCTATGCATCTGAAACTTGAACAATGAAAAGGATAATAGAACAATGATGCCTTTGGGTTGTGATGTTGGAGAAGAGTGCTGCATATCCCATAGGCCAAAAGAAGAAACATGTCTTGGAGAGGTTGCAGAGAACTCCTTGGAGGCAAAAATGAAACTCACATACTTTGGGCATGCAGTTAGGAAAGGCTAGTAGTCCTTGAAAAAAGACATCATGGAAAGGTCAGCAAAAGAGGGAAAGACCTTCAAGAAGATGGATTGACACTAGCTGTAGCTATGGGCTGAGAATGGCACAGAATAGAGCAGGGATCTATTGTTCATTAGGTTGCTATGAGTTGCACTTTACTGGAGAGCATATAATGAATTTTGGTCTCATGCATCCCCTAAAATGGTCTCAGAAGCCTCCAGGTTGACAGAGTACAATTTAAGAGCTGTGTGTTTGAGCAATAAGATCTAGGCAGGGAGAACCAAATACTGATAAATCTAGTGAGGCTTCACTGAAGTACTCCTTCGATAGCTTGAGGGGTTTTTTATGAAAAGATGAAGAAGGATAGGCAGTCTTGTGGCCTAATGATAAAAGAGTTGGGCTGCCAACCCAAAGGCATGTGTTTCGAATTTGCCAGCTGTTCAAAGGGAGAGACAATCTCTGTGATTACTTTCTGGACCCCACCGGAGGATCAGCTGTGAGTCAGTTCTGATGACAAACAACAAAACAGCTTTGAGTATTTTAGACTTGAAGGGAAAAGAGGAAAATTGGAAATTTAACTCTGAAAAGCTAGCTGAAAAATTATAAAGGAGAGGTAACATCAAGAAACTTTAGTGTTTTTTTTTTTTTGTTTTTTGGGGTTTTTTTTGTTTGTTTTTAAATGGGGAAAATGTTTGAACACTGATGAAAGAGACTAGTGGTTCAGGAAAGAGAAGAAGAATGCTGGAGCTTCCCAAGAATGAGAAGGATGGGGTCTTGTGCACAAATGGCCTCTTCGCAGTAGGAGAAGGCAGAACCCTGGAGACAAAGAGGTGAAGCTTGGGGAAATTCTCTTCTTTAGTCTCCTTTCTCAGTGGGATTGCAAATTAATAGATCTAAGGAGGGATAGGAAGAGGTAGTCATGTAAGACAGGAAGACTAAATGGAAGAAATATGGGATGATTCTGGAAGCTCCTAGGGAGCTATTAACTTGATAATCAGATTTTGTTAATGGTAATACTATTCTTATGTGTCATCGAGTCGCTTGTGACTCATAGCAACAATGTGTACACAGCTCTGAACCCTACTCTCCCTTGAGCCAACCACATTGTTTGGCATACCATTACCCCCAGTCACTAAGTCAATCCATCTCAAACAGGGTCTTCTTCTCTTGCCCTATCTCTCCACCCTTCCACACATGATGCCCCTCTTAAAGAACTGGTCCTCCTTTGCAACATGCCCAAAGTATGTCAGACGAAGCTTTAATACCCTTGCCTCCAAGGAGCAGCCTCATGTCACCCTCTCCAGGATGAACCTGTTTGTTCTCCTAGCAGTCCATGGTATATTCAACACGTCTACAACACCACAACTCAAAGGTATTGATTCTTCTTCTGTCGTCCTTAGCTTTCTAAATGCATAGCTAGTAATTGCAAAGACCATGGCCTGAATCAGGCACACCTTAGTCTCTAGACTGACATCGTTACTCTTCAGTACTCTAGAGAGATCCCTGACCACAGATTTTTCCAATGCAATTAATCTTTTGATTTCCTGGCTGCTGATACCAAGAGTTTTGATTGTGGAGCCAAGCAAACTAAAGTGGTTAACAATCTTAATCTTTTCACTATCTGTATCATGATGCTGCCAATTAGCCCAGTGGTGACAGTCTTTTTTTCTTGATACTGAGCTTCAATCCATTTTGAAAGCTGCAGTCCTTGACCTTCTGCAGCAAGTTTCAGGTCCTCCTCAGTTTCAGCATGCAAGGCTGTTTCATCTGCATAATGCAGTCCCGATTCCTCCTCATGGAGCTCAGCCTCCCAGAAGATCTGTTCTGCATATGGACTGAAAAGGTATGGAGATAGCACACATCCCTGGCATACATGCTTCCTAAT